ATGTGTCCTCGAGAGCAATGGCACGTGGAACTAGAATAATATAGTGGACGAAATAAATGGTTCGGTTCGAAATTCTATGACAATGAATATGAGGACAACAGTCCGAACAATGTAACAACGGTTTATTATTGTCTCAGACGCACAGACAGACACACGCACAGACAGACAGACACACACACACACACACACCAATATGTATTGATTTTCTTGTGGCACAAGGCCGAAAGTATGGAGCACCCAATGAGGATCGAACTCACTATTCAGTCGTAACAGTTTTTGCGAGACAAGCTTGTTAACCATTACACCACACCGAGGTGGCCAACGTACACCAATATGTATATGTATGTATTTTTGTACATATTGTTTCGTAAGGGAAAAGTCAAATGCTTAATGTTGCAAAAAAACTGAAGAAATAAGAAATTGTCAAAACTTATCTTCCCGTTTGAAAGTTACGTATACGGTATTTGTTCATCAGATGGTTAAAGTTCAATCAATCTGATGAGAATATAACATCTTCGAAACTTTGTTTCGGCAAAGATAGCTTTTGAACATTTTATTTGTTTACTATATAATATCGATGTGTGTGTGTGTGTGTCTGTGCTCGCGCGCGCGTGTGTGTGTTTAAGTTTACTAAAAAATAAAAATATTTTCCTGAAGGAGGAGAAGGAGGAGGTTAGGTGTGCACCATTTAAGAAGTTCTTTATCAATATTATAGTTTATAACTTGGTGAGATTTCGCTAATGGAGTTTCGGAGACAAGAATATATTTGCGTGTGTGTGTGTGTTGTTTAAAAGTTACTATATTTATGAAGTATGAATGCTTAAGGCGTGAAATTAACGGGAACCATACAGTGTTGTTTCCTATGTTCATGATCTATCTATCTATCTATCTATCTATCTATCTGAGTTTCATTATCTATCTATCTATTAATCTATCTATCTATCTATCTATCTATTCATTTTCTACCTATCCTTAATCTATCTATCTATTCATTTTCTATCTACCTTAATCTATCTATCTATCTATCTATCTATCTATCTATCTATTCATTTTCTATTTACCTTAATCTATCTATCTATCTATCTATCTATCTATCTATCTATCTATCTATCTATTCATTTTCTATTTACCTTTATCTATCTATCTATCTATCTATCTATCTATCTATCTATCTATCTCATTCTTTTCATTATCTATCTATTTATCTCCTTCCTGTCCATATCTATCTATCTATCTATCTATCTATCTATTCATTTTCTACCTACCTTAATCTATCTATCTATCTATTCATTTTCTCTCTACCTTAATCTATCTATCTATCTATCTATCTATCTATCTTAATCTATCTATCTATCTATCTATCTATCTATCTATCTATCTATTCTATCTTCATATAATCTATCTATTTTTTATCTATCTATCTATCTATCTATCTATCTATCTATCCCTGTTCATATCTCATTCTTTCATTATCTATCTATTTATCTCCTTCTGTCCATATCTATCTATCTATCGTTTCGCGTCTGCAATCGACACAAAAGAAAATGACCGTGATTTTAATCTTTCTTTATATTTTAAAACATTGTCCAGTTTTCGAATGCAGCAAATTCTAAATATCGCTTTATACATATATACATACATACATAATGGCTACTCTCATTTTCCGAATACACCTTCTGCTAGGGCGGCTAGACAATTCCTGTTGCAGACAACTGCTCAGGCACATTTCTGTTTTATTGTCCTTGTCTTTGTTTTCATATTCACGACATTTCGGCCGTTCTGCGCTCCGGCCTTCTTCAGCTAATTGGAATTTCGAAACGAACCCTTTATTTCGTGCACCGGGGTAGACTGTTCTAGTTCCACGTGCCATACCTCTTCTGGATATCTTTCATTTACTTCCCTTTAACTCAACTCTCCAACTCGACAGTTATTGAAATCTCTCATTGGATTACTTCAGGCACCGCTTTCATCCACTGGGTCATGTGTCCTTGAGGACGTCAATGTATGAATTGAGGGGGGGGGCTTCTAAACCGAATATCTCAGTAAACATTCTTTCACCAGAGAAGTGTAAATAATTAAAATACCTGATCTCATATATATATATACACACACACACACACATATATATATATATATATATATATATATATATATATATATATATATATATATATATGATAAGCAAATATAAATGGATATAAATCCGACAGAATGAAGAAAATATCTGAAAAAAAAACAAAATCCTTAAAATGCGATTCATATTAAAACAAATAATCGCATTTTTTAAGGATTTTTGTTTTGTTTTTCCAGATATTTTCTATATATATATATATATATATATATATATATATATATATTCAACCTCCATGGAGCCCATTTGTGTTATATATATATATATATATATATATATATAATGACAAAATATGCCAGTACTGTATGTGGGTGGTTTTCAAATCCTTCTCCCAGACCCATCAATAAATCAACTCTTTCTGCCAAATCTCGACCCTCGGGTCTTATGGTCGGAAAATTTGCATACATACATATGTAATCACGGATAGCTTTAGATTTAGTGTTACTAGTCGTGACCAGGCTCCTCGGCTTCAGTCCCTTTCCCGCCAGCCTAATGTAGCTTCCCCCTGCCTTTTCTATAAATATTTTCATGGTAATTGTTCTGATAGACTTTCTTCTATGGTATCTAGACTTTATGAATTTAAGCGCAGTACTGGATTGGCAGAAAGGTCCCATCAATTTACATTTGAAATGTCTAGATGTAACCGTAAGTTTACGCTAACAGTTCCTTCAATCGCACTTCTCGCTTGTGTAACTCTCTTCCAGCTCCTTGCTTCCGAGCCAACTTTGATCTTCAAAAAATTAAATGTAATGTCAATCACTATCTTCTCTCTTCTTAATTCTTGTTCTTTTATTATCCTCTCTCCTTAATAATAGTTTTACTCATATTCTCTAACACTCAATAACCTCCTTGCGTCTTAGTGGCTTTATTGCCTTTGATCTTAAAAAATTAAATGTAATGTCAATCGTTATCTTCTTAATTGTTATTCTTTTATTGTTCTCTCTCCTTAATATTAGTTTTTTCTCATATTCTCTAACACTTAGTAACCCCCTTGCGTCCTAGTGGCTTTATATCCTTTGATCGTCAAAGAATTAAACGCAATGTCAATCGTTATCTTCTCTCTTCTTAATTCTTATTCTTTTATTATCCTCTCTTCTTAATAGTAGTTTTACTCATATTCTCTAACACTCAATAACCCCTTTGCGTCTTAGTGGCTTTATTGCCTTTGATCTTAAAAAATTTTAATGTAATGGCAATCGTTATCTTCTATCTTCTTAATTCCTGTATTTTTATATTGTCCTCTTTCTTTATTCATATATTTTCTTAAATTTCTCTAACACTCAGTAACACCCTTGCGTCTTAGTGGCGTTGCTTAGTGTAAAATGATTTTTTAAAAATTCGCCAAAAAACGCCTGTAGGCGGCGTTATTTAATCCATAAAAGGTTAAACATATCTTTTCGTTTTCTATTTCTTCCTTGTTGCTTCTAGATGTAGCAGAAAGTAGATAAAAAAAACGTCAACGGTGAGACACGTTTGTTTCCCCGACCTATTGACTATTGAAATTTCTCTCTCTCACGCACACACACATGCATACAGGTGTCTTTCACATACGCTTGTTTCACACACACACACACACACACACACACACACACACACACACACACACACACACACACAAGCACATTCTTACAGCTAGTTGTAATGTATTTTGCTTTACTTTCAATTGTGTATACCTGTACTTCACTTTGTTAATAAACCGCATCGATTGTCGTTTGCTTTGAAATCTTTGTTTTACGACTTTTATTTTTACCCGGGCTCACATGAGTCCGCCAAATATTGTTCATGGGATAAATTTTCCAGGAGACATTAGATATTCTCTAAAGAACGTCCACAGCTCGCAACCCAAGACATGATTCTCGCAACAGACCATTTAATATATTTTCTCTTTTTTTTTTTTATTTAATAATAAAAGAAATAATTAAAATGGCTTTTAGTTGGACATCTTCAATTTTAAAATAATCGTCCAAAGTTGTCCACTTTTATTGTATTTGATGAAAACTTGTTCGCCGCCTACGAAAATTGAAAGTTCATTATTGTCTGGAGTTATTGTCACCAACGTTGAGGATGAATATGATTTTAGCTCTTCTGAGAATAGAAACACTTGTGGAATATCATAAAGACTTGTTACTGGCGCTCGGAGAGTTGCCTTTGGGTTCGCGAAGGAAGAACTAAGCGAAACAGAAACAATAAAAAAAAAGATAAAAGCATCATAAACTACAGTGACATTAAATCAAATTAGACGTTTCTAATGTCGACAGCATTCCGATGATCATCATTATGACATTGACGTTTTTTTTTTTTTTTGTTTTTTCAGGTCAGGGGAATTTCTGAAAAATGACTAATTTTTTTTCTTCGATTTATTTTCTCTCAACAAATAAAAACAGTTGCCTATTCTTCATCTACAGAAAGTTCATCTTAATCTAGGTAAAAAACAAAAACAAAAAAACGATATAAATATTGTCCGTTTGTGCCGTCTCTCTTCAGAACGTAAACGATTATGGTTCTCCACAACTTCCTGTTCTTTTTAGCTCATAGTAAGGTTTGTTTTTTTGCTATCTCTCCTAATCCGTGTTCTGACAACCATTCCCACAAACTCGTTAGGCAGGTTACTCGCTGTTTTCCTTTGTCTCTCTTGTCTTCAATATGCCCTGTGTGTATCAAATTCTCCAAATCTCCTTTCCTCATTATGTATCCCAGAAACCTACACAAGTTCGTTTGGCAGGTTACTCGCTGTTTTTTCTCTAATCCTATTTCCTTCAATATGCCCTGTGTGTATCAAATTCTCCAAATCTCCTTTCCTCATTATGCGTTACAAATTTTTCAATTGTTTCTTTTTCATTCGGCGTAAGGCTGCATCACATGTTACGTCTTACGACCACATCAGGCTGAAACACTGCTTCCCGTACGATCACCGAAGTTAAGCAACGTCAAGTCTGGACAGTATCTAGATGGGTGAATATAGGAATACCAGTTGCTGTAAGGATGGGTGTGTGGGTTCCATATTCCTTAAAATGTCTAAATTGTGTAACAACAAATTTTTCTAATTGTTAGATTAAGCTTTGAAGCATTGTATCTTAGAAATGATTAAAGATATCTTACTGGAATTCACCGAGGTTTTTATAACACTACTAGACTCTACTTTGAACAATAAGAATGCATAATTACACTCTAAGTTTAACAGAAGAATCATGATGAAATCGATCATAAACGAAAATGATATGTTCATCATTAATTAATCATATCAGAAACTCATAAAGATTGAAAATAAGTTCAAATATATATATATTTCCAGAATCAACTTATTCAAGATAATCTTCGCCGTCTCTAACCTTCTAACGTTCTGTCCTAGAGTAACAAGATGCCTCACAGGTTTCACGTACGATTTCATTTTCAAGTTTTTTCACAACACTTTGGATAGTCATAGCGGAAACTCCTCTGTCACGTGCCAAACGTCTTATGGATTGATCTGGATCTTTTCTACTTGATCCCTTTAGCTCCAAGTTGAAAATGCTGATCCCTCGTCCTGTTGTGACCCCCTGATCCAGTTTTCCTCTTTACTGTTTCCTCTTTTTTAAACATTCACCATTCTCTTGATGCTTCTTGAATGGACCTGAATAAATAGAATCCAGAGTATGAATGTTGGTACCATTACTGAAGGCCTGAATGATCTTTTTCCTCTCACCATTGCCCAGTTGGGAAGACACTGGGGTTGACGCAAAACGATTTTAACCTGTTCTCTTTCTAGCTGAAAAACTCAAAGGGTTTTTCCAGGTTTCCTACGACAAATGGTGTCAAGATGGCTAAACGTCTTATTTGTAAACCTGTAAAAGAAACTCAATTAGTTTAGTGTTTTTTTTAGATGCTCAACATGTTGTGGAATGGACAATTATGCTGTTACACCCGGTATATATATATATATATATATATATATATATATATATATATATATATATATATATATATATATATATATATATATAAAAAAGTGAACATTGAAGTTAACACTTAGAGGCGACAGTCTGTTTCATGCTAGACGTAATCGTCAGGCCACGCTCTATCTCTGATATTGAGCACTTTATCCCATAAATATAGCACACCTTAAGAGTATATTTCTTCATATATATATATATATATATATATATATATATATATATATATATATATATATAATAAAATGTCTTCGAAGTAGCTAAGTCTCTGTTTGCTAAGAGAATGAGGTACTGCCCTGTACCTAACAACTTTGGCTCTCGTGATTACTGGTGGCTGTGTAGTAGTGTATTAAATAAGAGTAAGTTTTCTATTCCTCCTCTCTTCAGTCAGTTGAGGTGTTAACATCTTCTGCTGATAAAGCTGAATATTTCCCCAGTGAATTCTCTTTAACTTCTACTCTTGACTTATCTAGAGTTCCCTTGTCTAACTTCCTACTTAGTTGAGAGATATGTATATAATCCCTTCTACGGTTACTTCTATTAACTCTCTAATACGAATACCCACAATGCATGCGGACCTGATAGTATCCTCGTAATAGTTCTTAAGAAATCCCGAATTGTCATCTGTTGTCTCTAAACTGTATAATGAATGCCTTGCTACTTCTTGTTTCCCTGCTTGTTGGAAATCCTCTTCTGTTGTTCCAGTCTTTAAGAACTCCGGAGAACCGTCTGACCCTTCCAACTATTAGCCTCTTTTTCGCAAACTATTTGAGGCCCTGAATTAATTAACCATCTCACATCGTAGGGCCTTCTTTCAGACAAACAATATGACTTTCGTTTCAGTCAACTGCTGACGTATTAACGATTATTGCGAAACGAGTCAAGCTTTAAACGATAATGACGAAGTTCGGGTTGGATATCTCGAAAGCGTTTGACAGGGATAGGCATTCCAGTCGTCCCACACAAGTCGAAAAGTTATTGTGTCACCAGATTAAATTTTCTAAACTGATTCAGTCTTTCTTATCAAATCGGAAAATTACAGTTGACCTAAATGGAAACTCTTCCAGATCCTTCTGTACTAATACTCTATAGTTGGCCCACTTTGTTTTTAATTTTTATTAACGACCTTACTGACGGCATCAGTTCTGAACTTACTATCTATGTTTATGACACAACCACTTACTACTGTCTTGATCCAAAGTCTGACCAGTCCGATAAGGTCAAATTGGCGGCTGATTTAAAAAACTACCTACAGTCTGTTGTTAACAGGGGCAAAGAATGGCTTGTTAATTTTAATACCTTTAAAACTAAACTGCTCCCTGTTAATCATCTGAGAGAACCCTTTTTAACTTCCATCAGCATGGCTGATGCTAACCTCCAAGAGAGTGACTCGAAGCCTTCTCGGCTAATATGAAGTGGAAAGACTGTATTGAATCCATTGCTAGGGCAGCTGCTAAGAAAGTTGGTTCACTATGTCGGGCTAGACAATTTTTCTCTCCAGAATCTATTTTACATATCTATAAGTCTACCATTCACCAATGCTTTGAATATTGCTGCCAAATATGGTCTGGTGCTCCTGCTATTGATTTAGAGATTCTTGATAAGATCCAAAGGAGAATCAGCAATATTATTGGTCCTGACCTGGCGGCTCGGTTTAAGTCACTTCCCAACCACAAGTTGCTTCCCTGTGCTTTTTGTTATAAATACTTTCATGGTCATTGTTCGGATAAGCTCTCCGCTATGGTACCTAAACTTTATGAATTTAAGCGCAGTACTAGATTGGCAGCTAGGTCTCATCAACTTACATTTGAGTTGGCTTGGTGTAACCGAAAGTTCTATACTAACAGTTTCTTTTCTCGCACTTTTCGTCTGTGGAACTCTCTTCCGGTTCTATGCTTTCCGGTCGACAGATTTTCAAAAGTTTAAATGCAATGTCAGTCGCTATCTACTGTGCTCCTGGATTACTCTGCTTTTGTTCCAGCTCCTTCATAATGTTTTGTTTTTTTAATTCTTTCATACTTGATAATCCCTGTGCCTTAGTGGCTTTACTACCTTTGCTTTTGTAAACACACACACACACACACACACACACACACACACACATATATATATATATATATATATATATATATATATATATATATATATTAAGAAATGGACAAGGTCCGACAATTTATTTATTAAAGACATTTTTATAAAATAACAACGTGAAACATAAAAATGTCTTTAATAAATATATATACATATATATATATATGAGATAGTGATATATATTTTTATATATCAGAAACAATATTGAGGTAAAATGTATGACAAAATGGAAAAAAAATTCGTGTGACGTGTTTCGTCCTTTAGGACTTCCTTGGACTAAATTTATTATGAAATTTAAATTTCCCAGCATCCCCCGTTCGTGCGCACGTGTAGTCGCACCCACGTAAAAATTTAATCCGATGTAGTCCTAACGGACGAAATGCGTCACACGAAAATATTTTTTCACTTTTGTCATATATTTCCCCCCAATATTGTTCTGGATATATAAAAGCATATATCGTTATCTCATATATACCTCCAATCTTTAAGGTACCCCGAGGTGGTGTAATGGTTAACAAGCTTGTTCTCGCTAGAACTATTACGACTGAGTAGTGAGTTCGATCCTCACTGGCTGCCCCTTAATTTCGGCCTTGTGTCACATCTAAGCTACGCTTGGAAAATCACTCGGGCACCTCGAGGTGGTGTAATGGTTAACAAGCTTGTTCTCGCTAGAACAATTACGACTGAGTAATGAGTTCAATCCTCACTGGGTGCCCCTTTATTTCGGCCTTGTGCCACATCTAAGCTACGCTTGGAAAATCACTAAATACCTCCAATCTACCAATCAGACTTGTTACCGAATGTAGTTTGTCATCATACCCAGGATTCCAAGACGGAAGACGAAATATATGCCTGCCTATACTCTGTATATTTTCAAGGAATCACTGATATTACCCACACCTCATATCAAATTAAAAAAAAAAATCCAAAAACAAACAGTCACTACAATATGGCTCCCTGTATAATGTCCATACTTTCAACTCCTATTAAATTAACTTAGAAGAAATAGGGAATAATATATTTTCGATGTATAATACACAGATTCAATAACACCCATTAAATTAATAGAAGCCTTAAAAGAAAGTGTAAATAATATATTTTCTGTGTATAATGCGTACATTCCAAAAGAACATATTTAAATTAAGAGAAGGTTTAAAAAGTAGTAAATCATTTTTTGTTTTTTGTGTATAAAGCGCAGATTCGAAAAGAACATCTATTACATTAAGAGAAACCTGAAAAGCAGTAAATAATATATTTTCTGTGTATAGAGCGCAGATTTGAAACAAACACCTGTTAAATTAAGAGCCGTCATATACGAAAGAATAAATAATATGTTTTATGTATAATGCGCAGATCCGATAAGAACACCTATTAAATTAAGAGAAACCCTAGAAGAAAGTGTAAATAATATATTTTTCTGTGTATAATGCAAATATTTTGACAGATTCGATAAGACCTCGACTCCTATTATATCAAGAGAAGCCTTAAAAGATTGAGTAAATACGACCCACATATGCAACAGCTTATCCGTCACTTGAAACAATTTAATAAAAAGCGGCCAGATCTTGTCGGTTACATTTATTAAAACTTGTTTCAATGATTTTTTTATTACTTTTCAAAAATTCATTTTATGCATATATTGACAGTTTTAAGAAATCATTTTTTAAATTTATGTCAATTTGTGTGCAGACCAACGATAATTTGTTTAATTTTTTTTTTATATTAATTTGTCCGCGATCTGATCACTTGTCTGGTTCCCAGAGATAAAAAAAAAAAAAAAAAGGAAACATCTTTCAATGTTTCCTGGGTGCTTTTGCTTTCCATCAGCAATTAACGAAGCGGTTTACTTTTGTGCTGATGTTAATTCACCTCTCCAAGTTCTCCACTGCCTTAACCAGGTATTGAACTCACAAGGACATATGGCACAGTGGATAAAGCCGTTGGTTAGATCCAGTGACAG